CAGTAGTCTTATTGATCTAGTAAGAATTCAGTTACTATATTGAACAGGTATGGAAAGAGTTCATAATACAAATTTCCGTAGCTCTCTTAATAAGATCTTTATGTGGCTTAGTTATTAGGGCAACCATGAAATGAACTGAGCAATGTTACTTCTGTTTCTAGTTTTTGGGATAATTTGAGAAGTATTAGCGTTAGTTCTTCCTAGACAGTCTGGTAGGGTTTTGTGATAAAACTGTCTGGCCTTGTGCTTTATTGGTAGGGACATTTTAATGGTTGCTTCTGGAGGAATGAGAATATGAGCAAAGAGGTCAAGACCATGATGGGTTCACCCACTAAAACCATCTACCTGAGCTAATAGGAGCTCACCAACTCCAGCTGAACTGGGAAGGAACAAGCATAGAACCAAACTAGTCCCTCTGAATGTGGTTAAAAGTTGCATGCCTGGGGCAGACTGAGGAACCACTGGCAGTGGCACCAGGATTTATCCCTACTGCATGTACTGGCATTTGGGGGAATCTATTCTTTTTGGATGTATACCTTTCTTAGCCTAGATACAGTAGGGAGGGCCTCAAACCTTCCACAAAGCAATATGTCTTAACTTCTCTGAGGATTGGAGGAGGGTATGGTGGGAGGGTGTGTGGAGGAAATGGGAAAAGGTGAAAGAGTAAGAACTTGTATTGACATTTTTGAAAAATCTAACAAATTAAAAACATAATTTCTACCATTTATTTTTTACTTAATTTTATTGATACATGGTTTCCGTACATGATGATTTTATATTTATATTTTCATGCAATAAAATCATTATTTATCAAATGACATGAAATATTCTACTGCATGTGTGATGATTGCTTTTCTCATTTTTCTGCTGTGCTAGAATATTTAATGGAAGTTTATAAAAGTCACATTTCATGTCTGTTTTATTTAACCCAGATGACTGAAATTAATGTCATGTTCCCTCAAACAACAATGAAAGAAGATTCTAGGAGTCCCAATATCTTCCCAACAGTATTCTATTCTGAAGAATGTTTAATGAAATTAATTAAAAGAAAATTCTCAAGTAACTTTATAAATTATAAGTGATGTAATGAAGACTTGTTAGCAAACTTCCCATAGGTGGAACTGTTTTCATGATACTTGACTTGGTCTATTTAATTTACGACATCCCTTTGAGTGTTTCGTTTCTTTTCTGCTCAAATACCATTGTGGATTTAAGAATTGTGTGGCTCAAATAATTCATTAACAAGTCCCAGTCCCTATGTCAGATTTGATAAAGTGCTCATAGTTTTTTCTTTGCTGGGCACTCTTGCCTCCAAACACCCTGTACGAGTCCAGCTTCAGCTATGTCACCTAACTATCTTTCTATTTGTATATTTATTAATTTTTCCTATCACATTTGAATACATGTAAGCTTATTTGCTAAAAAGTGACTGTCTTAGATATGAAGATTTTGAACTATGACAGGAATTGATCTGATATGTTTGAATTGTTCTACCACTTATAATAAACTTGGGTTGCAGATTCAGAATCAAAATGATTTGAGTCTGAAGTTGGATTAAGAAGAAAATTAATTGCACTTGTAGGGACATTGATTTTGTGAGTTATCATATTCATTTCTTCAAAAATATTAGCATAGAATCACATATTCTGTATTCTTAAAAGCTACTGGTGTTTATGTATATTTGATTCCTTTTCCTTAGGGCTGAAAGCATGAATGATAAGTTATAGATAGTAATATGTATCTATGATATTACTTTTCCTCCTAGATTGCACATTCTAGTGTTACTGCATCATTTACTCTTTTTATTTGCAAAGTGAACACTGTCAAGTAAAGATTTTATTATTAAAAAACCCTAGCATAGACAACGTTTCATATGGCCATGTATATAATTGGAGCATTAAACTCAGCCTGCTTAATGATACAGGTGGGAAAAAAGCATGCCAGAGAAAGTAAAGTCTTTTCAGCAAGTGTGCTGTGAAAATTGGATATTCACAGACAGGAGAATGAAATGGGACCATTTTCTCAGTCAATGAAATAGAAAGTATACTAGGGAATTACTAATAAGAATGGAAAATATGAAGTTATTATAAAAGTCAACACAGGAAAATGTAAAGGATATTGGCATTGCCAAGGATGCTTTTGAACATGACCCCCAAAGCTGAGAAAATGGAAGAAAAGAATAGTGCTATATCAATCTGAAAAGTTCAGAAAAAAGAACATCGGCAATGAAGAGATAATAGAGAAGAGGAGAAAAATTTTGCAGATCACACAAAGATATGGGCTTAGCATTAGCAAAATATAAGAGACAAATACTAATAAGACCATGAGCATTACAATTACAGACATTTCTATAGGGAAAACATGCAGCATATGTACTTACAAAAGTCAAACTAATTACCAAGTGTTTTACTTCTATATCTCTTGGCATGATAACGTAATGCTGGTAAATAGCAGCACATAAGGGGAAGAGGAGTGTTGTTCAGATAAAAATTCCATATCAGGAAGCACAAAACAAGAACTCAGACATATTCACATCATATACACCATCAAGAGCAGAATACAAAGTTGAATACCTACCTATTTTCTTTTGCTTGAATCCACAGCCTAGTGAAGAATGCTATCCATAGTGGACTTATTCTTCTCATATCAATTAAGTTCACTAAGAGAATTTCCTCAGACATATCCCAGACCAGCCCAACATAGAAAAAATCCACTTAGTCTCTTTAACCAGGTACATCTAGGTTGACAATTACAGCTATCACACAGAGCACTCTAACCAAAATCCTGGTGACAAAAGATCACACTCCAGTAAGAACAGTTATTACAAAAAATAGTAAGAATTTAACAAATGCTAGCAAAAATAGGAGAGAAAGTTAAACTTATACATTGTTGTTAGAAATGTCTATATTGCAATGCAGCATGGAAAAACATTATACATGATCCTCAAATGAGTAACATTTCTATGTGATTGTATCACATATTTACTAGGTATTCATTATCAAGAAAAAAAGCAATGGATAGGAATGTGCTCATTCATTTTATTTTTGTATCAGAATTTGTATGACAAAATATAACCGTAGTAAATGCTTTCAAATTTGAAGCTTGATGGCAAGCATACAGTATTTCTACAAGGCAAAAGAAAACATTTTGAATATTTATACCACATGTAAGTGATACGTTTTATAGATAGCATGATTTAAATGTTAGACAATAAATATATGTGTTACAATACATGTACCTTGGAAAGTTGTATAATATTTTATGATTTCATATATATAGGAATTCTAATTTTAAGACTTCATGAGGATAAGTAAAAGAAAAATAATTAATTGTGTATACTAAAAAAGATAATAAATTCCTATTTTGCTTTTGTATCTATAGTCAGAAGCACAGAAAATGCTGACTTTACAAAAATATCTTACAGAAAATGTTTCTTTATGTTGGGATCAAACAGCACATCAGTTTTTAAATATTTTTTTTAAAAAATCATTTGTGCATTCCAAACATACTGTGTTCTAAGCTTAGGATTTTTTAAATGCAAAAGTTTAACTGGTTCATGAATTACCCCGCATCTTTATTTTTGATTGTTTGAAGGAATTATCTTCCCTCACCATGCCACGGCCTTCCTGTATTCCAGTTTCCCAGATTTGGTTACAGTGGCCACATGGTACTTGTTTTACACAAGGCAAATACCCCTCACAGTGAATGCAGTGTCTCTTCTCCTTTGTGGCCTACAGATTGTTGGCAGTCTTAGCTGTTTGTACACATGGATGAAACTCATGAACCTTCTACACAGATTTGTTTTGTCATGTGACATATCTTAGGTTTCCTGCACACATATTCCATAACACTAAATCTCAACCATTTTTCTGAGGTTTGTGACTGATTTATTAAAAAGTAAAAATAAAAGAATAAGCCCATCAAGAGAACATGGGGACTCACTGGCTTTTGTTTTGGTAGTCTAATTAATCCTAAAGGGACATACATGAATAACATAAAATATTACAAAATAGTCATATGTGGAACATAAGTGTTAAAGCAGTGTCTGACATACACATTTTCAGAATATGTCTCAATCAAACATATTATATGAAAGTAAACAGCTTAAACTTATTTTCCTATGATTGTTTTCTAATACCATATTATTTGAGACAGGTTTCATTAGAAGATATTTATATTTCCATAATTAACAATGTAAACTAATCAGAAAAAGTTCTTAAATACCATTGTATATACTGACCACACTGGAAGAAGTCAAACAGTATCTTTCTCTCTCACACAGACATTTCCTCACTCTTTTTCTCATATCTACATGTATATGTATTCAAATATACACATTCACATAAAAATATACACACACACACATACTCTCACACATATCCATGCATTAAAACTGTAGAAAATTTAGTAGTGAGTTTAATGGTTTAAGTGAGTGATACCTGAATAGATGTGAAGGCTAAACATTTATATACACAGAAAACAGCCTTTTTTCTTGTAATGCTTTATTCATTTATTTAGTGTGTGCGCTCTGATGTGGAAATTAAAGGAATCCTCATGGGAATTGGCTCTGTCATTCTACTATGTTGGTCTCATTGTTACAACTTGTTGATTGCAAGTGTCCTTACCTGATGATTTATTTGAATTTTTCAGAGTGTCTTCCATGTCTTGAAGCTCAACTGTCATAGAATCTTAATAATTTCAAAAGATTAGCCCATTCTCTTAGATTAGATTTGTGACACCATTGTTGGGTTCTAGTTGGGATAAAAGAGTCATGTTCTGTGTTGTATTACTTGTAAATTATGTACATTTGAATTTTTAAAAAAAGGCCTTTTGGGATTTAAGGAAAAATAGCTGCATTATTTAATATCAACAGCATTAAACATTAAAACATCTGGCGAGGGGGAGGGGCATGGAGCTGGGGACCTCAGGGGCGCAGGGGTCAGGCCAGGGGCAGCAGGATGGCTTTGACGCCGGCCCGCCATCCTCAGGAAGTGTTTCTCATGATCTGGTGTCACAAGACCATCATCTTCGTGGATGCCAAGGAGTCGAGTATCGCTTTCGAACTGAAGTGCATCGTTGAGGGCATCCTCAAGCAGCCGCCGGATGAACAGGGGTTGTACAAGGATGACCAACTCCTTGATGACGCAAAAACTCTGGGCGAGTGTGGCTTCACTAGCCAGAGAGCACGGCCACAGGCCCCAACCACAGTGGGCCTGGCCTTTCGAGTAGATGATGCCTTTGAAGCACTGTGCATTGAGCCCTTCTCCAGCACTCCAGAGATTCAGATGTGATGAAGCCACAGGATTCCAGAGGCAGTGCCAATGAACAAGCTGCCCAGTGAGGGCCCCAGCCGCCCTCCCCCCACACACACCACACAGAGACCCATTCTCTCAATAAAGAAGATTTGGTTATCCAGCTGGCTGCTGACTTTGTTTCCTCTTCTTACATTACAGGTTCTACTTGCTCACACACGCTTACAAGGCTATCCTGCTTTGTAGTCTCTGTGGCTCAGGTCCCACAGGCCAAACAGAACACTAGGACTGAAAACCCAGTCCCAGGCCAGGCTGTTGAGCAAGGGATTCAAATCTTTGAAAAAAAATCTAGACAGAAATAAAGTCTGTAGACACCACCACCCCCCGAAAAAAAAAAAAAAATTGAAACAGCTAAGGGGTTGTGTGGTTGCATATAGCTGGACTAGAATTACCAGTGTTGAATAGAATCCTACCATCTCCTTTTCCAGAAATGAAGCTAGCATTTCCATGGCTTGATTTTGCATAATTAACTTTCCAACATTTATGCTTAGTACACACAGACATGGCTATTATTGTGCGACAACAACAACAGGTATGAAGTTCCGGCAAGTTCGCACATGAAGAGTAAAACCTCAGAGTGCTGATGAGACAGTGTGGTGAGAATGAGTGACCAGTGGGAAGGACACTGAGTTCGTAAGTGACTCAGCAGCAGGGCTGGTGCATTGTCTTGCCATTAGAAAGGGAAACTGGATAGTCCTAAAGAACACGGTACATCCAGTTAGAAGACGCACTGTGTAGAATGACACAGAGTTGAATTGATTAATTATACATATTATTAGACAGATTATACATATTATTAGACAGACTATTTTTGATGTTTTTTTTTTTAAGATGAAAGTTTCTGAGACTAAGAGATGTGTATCCTTTAAAGTGCTTTCTGCTTTCTCAGAGAGCCTGGGACAGACTCAACATACCCACACCATGACTTGAAACTATCTGTAACTCAAGTTTTAACTATGGAACATGCACAGTTCATAGACATACATGCAGGCAGAACATGCATACACACAAAATAGAGATAATTCTTTTAGCACAGAGAGACACTAAGTAATCCATAGGGTAATTTATATTTATAATCTAAGATATAAGTACAAGTTAGGGAATTTGAGAAGGGAATGTAATTAGTAAATGAACAGATAAAACAATCTAAAATATGATGAATAATGGATATTGAATTTATATTGAGATTTATTATTTTTTTAATTAATGACAAAGATATCCTGGAGGGAGGCTGAAGACATGATTTTGAAATGCTTTATTTCAAAGAACTAAATATATGCTTCCAGGTTGTGGCAAAAGGAAAACTCTAGTTAGGTTGGAAAAAAGAGTGCCCAGAATTTAGTGTGGGAACACAAAGAGAAGCCCAAGCTTTGAAATAGAGACATCAGAAACTTGGGAAGATATAGGATCAACTTTAAAACAAAGTTTGATCTTCTGCCACGACAAGGTTTCTAGGTGAGAAAGAGAAAAGCGAATCCAACACATTCTTTTAACCCACATGTGGTCCTACAAGAAAGAGACCAAGTCAAGAAAAGAGGTGAAAAATTTCAAATCGACATCAACTTTCCAAATGTGCATAGATACACACTTTGTTGAAGTGACACATTGCAAAAGTTTCCTTTAGGTAGGAAGGTATCAGGCAACATGTACTGATGCTGTACTCATTAGCATTTGCTATGTTAGTTAATTTTCAGCCATATATTTCTAATGAAGTTCAGGCTGGGCATATGCTTCTTATAAACTTGAGACACAATCATATTATAATTTCATTGATGTTTTCATTGAGTCACAACTAGAGAAAGCAGAGGGTGACCTATCAAAAAATTTATTATAATCATTTTAACGAGTTAAGAAATTTTAATTTTTTAATGAGTTAATATTTTTGTTTGTTTAAATCCACATAGCAGCATCATAAAAATGGAAACAAGAGTTGGGGAGGAGGCTGAGAGGTGGAAACAGAGACTGTGCTTTCCTCTCCCAGCTACCCAGACTCAAATAATCACATAGAAACTATAATAATTACAAAACTCTTTGGCCATTGGCTTGGGTGTTTTTCTAGTTAGTGCTTACATCTTAAATTAACACATTTCTATTAATTTGTGTATCTCCATGAGGCTGTGGCTTACTGGCAAGCTTCTAGTGTATTTCTCCTTTGGCAGTGACATGATGCCTGCCTGGCACTACCTTCTGTCCTTCTCTATCTCTGCTTGTATTTCCCACCTTGCTATATTCTGTCCTACCATAGGACAAAGCAACTTGTTTTTAACCAATGATAATAGAACATATTCACAGAATACAGAGGGGAATCCCACATCATCTCCCCTTTTCTAAATAAAAAAGGAAGGTTTTAACTTTAGCATTTTATTATATGTAAAATTGCATATAATAAAGCAGGTATCAAGCAAGAATTACAGTTTTTGTGAGTCTAAAGTTTCACATCTAATCTATCTTTTATCATAACTAGGGAAAGCTATAAGTATCTGTCTTCAACACCATCAAAAATCCCAGAAGGATATAATATTGCCTAAGTAAATAGGAAATGCATTGTAAGCAATCTCCAAAGTTCTAGAAATAACAGAGACATCCTGCTTTCCGGACAGTAACCCAAAGTTCTTTTCTAATGTTGGGGCATCCATATTTAGCCTGTAGGCCCATTATATCTATGGCTATCTATTAATCTAATTTATAAAATATTTAGAGAAGAGATTAATAGTTTTTTTAATAAAAGTTGTTACTATAATCTATCCTTTACTTCCATCATTTCTATATCAGAGAAGATGAAGCATTTTGCTGTACAAGGATCAAGATATTGGAACTTGGATTCCCGGAGCTCATGTAAATGCTGGGTTGACATGGTAACCAACCTGTTGTCCCTCTGTAAGAGAGAAATAGAGAATATGGAGTCATGGAATTCCAGATCACAAGGCTGTCTAGACTGCTAAATCCGTTAACTCTGGCTTCACATAAGAGACTCTGCCTCAACATATTGCATACTGAGTTAATGAAGAATAACTGAAGTTAGGGTTTGCTCTTCACATGCACACACTCACGTGTGCACACATGCGCATACATGTGTGTACCCACAAACCAGGGAACGCATATATATATATATATATATATATATATATATATATATATATATCACAAAAATAATGCAAAAGCAAATGAAGAAATAAATTATCTGAAAAACAGTTATAATTTATTTTTTATAAAATTATCTAGCAGATGAATATTATATGATATGAAATATTTGAATTTGGAGAGCATATTGTTTGAAACATGTTCCAAAGAGGATGGGTAAGTGATAAAACATACCCCATTATAGAAACCATATTGAAATAAATAAAAACTAAGAAAAAGAAAATAGAATTTTCTGCTAAAGGGCAATTTTATTTTTAATGCTGCCATGTTTTAGAAGTTAATATGTGGCTGTGAGATATGTAAGATTTTTACAGGAGAATTTGTTGTTTTGATTCTGCCCTGGATGAGTTAATGTCTTGTGATTGAAGATCTTCCATAGATCTTATACTGAGTGGGGTTTCTCCTTATTCCTTTCTAAATATCTATGGAGAATTTATAAATGAAAACATGAACTTGAACACATAAACTGAATTCTATCTGTCAGCAATTTCATTTGTACTTGCAAGTTATTCTTAATGTGTATTTATATGAATTTTAAACAGCATACACTGGCTATTTGGATTTGAATAGAACAAAAATATCCCTTGCTCATAACCTATGTCATTTTTTTCTCAATATTTGTCAGAAAAAGAAAACACAAGTGATACGTCACTGTATATTATACATTCAGTTTTTTCATTCTATTTATTTAGTTTGTATTATGTTTGTATGATTGTTAGTGTGCATTTACTGTGATGGCTATATGGACGTGAGGGATGACCTGGGAATGGGTTCCCTCCTTCTACCATGTAGGTTTCAGGGATCCAACTTGTTTCATCAAGCTTGGTAGGCCTTTTCCTACTGAGCCGTTTAACAGGTTCTTTGTTTCCTTTTAAAGCGTGGCATGAAGGTTTTGCAGTACTGGTAGAATTGACTGGATAATAGTTTGCTTTAAGGAATTTCCTGTTAGATTGTGGAATTCTTAGCAGACTGTCCTCCACCTTCTAGAGACAAATGATATTCCTCCCAGGCTTCATAAATTAAAAGTTCTCAGGCATCTGAAAATGTCTCAAATGAGTGGTATTTATTGTGTCCTCATTAATGATATCAGCATCATATTGACAATTCACATTGAGAGTCCAACTTAAAAGCTATTTGAATTAGTGATAGGAGCAATATTAGTTGATAAAATAAGTGTTAATTTAGTTAGGACAAAGGAGACTAGCACACTGGCACCAGACATTCTTCCCCAAAATTCTACTGAAATAAAAATTTTAAAAATGGAAACATCATATAAAAACAATATTATTAATAATGAAAAGATCTGTTACAGTTCTAAAAGCAATGAATATATTACTGTTTTTTAATAAGACATTTTCATCTTTTGTGCATGTGTTTGTTTTGTTTGATTTCTTTATAAAGAGCATCCCTATCAGCACTACTATTGCTTACAACTGCTCCTTTTCTTAAAGAAACAGTAAACAAGTCGTTGACTCAGTTCATGTAAAGCCTCTTTGATATGGGAGAGAATGCAAATTGTGCCAGTAGAATTTTGCATCATTTGGGTCAGGCTACTAAGACATCCCAATGCTAACAAGAAATATACAGATCACTAGATGATTTCAGGCTTATAGAGAGCTTATTTTTTCAATGTTTAGCTCTTAGTATATCCTATGAAAGAACAAAAATAAATAAATAAAACAATTAGAGATTTTTTCTGATGACATTTAAAAGTGTGCATTGCTTTACTGAGTAAAACAGTGCAATAAAACAATTTTCAACTTGCAATATTCTCAAACTAATTTCTTGTTAGTGAATTTTGACTACTTTTCGTATAATAGAATTTGATGAAACTAATT